TGCACCAGGCCTCTATCCTATATAATAAAAGGGTAATATGCAAATTGACCCTAACAGCAGAACGACTGGGAATGACTGGTCACTATGACACACACTGACCACCAGGGGGCAGACGCTCAATGCAGGAGCTGCCCCCTGGTGGTCAGTGCGCTCCCACAGGGGGAGCTCTGCTCAGCCACAAGCCAGGCTGCCAGCTGCCAGTACAGTGGTGGTGGTGGGAGCCTCTCCCGCCTCCTCAGCAGCGCTAAGGATGTCCGACTGCAGCTTAGGCCTGCTCCCCGCTGGCAAGTGAACATCCCCCGAGGGCTGCCGGGCTGCCAGAGGGATGTCTGACTGCCAGCTTAGGCCCAATCCCCCAGGGAGTGGGCCTAAGCCAGCAGGTGGACATCCCCGGAGGGGTCCCAGACTGCGAGAGGGCACAGGCTGGGCTGAGGGACCCACCCGAGTGCACAAATTTTTGTGCTCCGGGCCTCTAGTTAAGTTAATAACAATGTACCTACCTATATAGTTTAAGTTTAAGAAATTTGGCCCTCAAAAGAAATTTCAATCATTGTACTGTTGATATTTGGCTCTGTTGACTAATGAGTTTGCCAACCACTGATATAGATTATTAACTTACCCATACATACACAATCTGAAGCTATTAAACTCTTAAAATAAAAATACTGAAAATGTATAATAATGCTAAAAAGGAGATTTCACTAACCTTATAGAACTTGAGGCATAGTAGTGAGAGAATTATTACTGAAAAAATAAATGATACAGATTATAGTTATTATATGAGGGTAGTTTTTGCCATAATTTCTTCTTCACCTCTACCCACATCTCCCATATTAGGGTTATTTATTGCTGATGGATTAGTATTGGTATAATCTTGTATATTAGGAGGTAGAGAATAATGCGATTCTGTTATACTGATACATTGAATCCTCAATTGTCTTTTCTGCAACACAGACTTAATTCCTCCCACTCGGCTCCTGATGGCCTGATAAGAATATTAAAAGTGGTAGGAACCTTAGCCAATTTGGCTCAGGGAATAGAACCTTAAAAGTAGTAGGAGCCTTAGCCAGTTTGGCTCAGGGAATAGAATGTTAAAAGTGGTAGGAGCCTTAGCCAGTTTGGCTCAGGGGGTAGTACGTCGGCCTGCTCAAGGGCACGGACCTTGGTTGCATTGATCTCCAGTCCTGGTTAGGCCCACAAAGGAGGCAACCAATCCATGTGTCTCTCTCACATTGATGTTTCTCTCTCTCTGTCTCTCCCCCTGCCTTCCACTCTCTTTAAAAATCAATAGAAAAATATCCTCAGGTGAGGATTAACAACAACAAAAAAGTGGTAGGAAACACTAAATAAGCACTCTAGGGCAGTGAAACTTGTTAGAAGTAAAACGGGTGAAATCCAATTCCTTTATCAGGATTGGAATTGAGAGTATTTTGATTCGTAGGATTCTCTCTAGGTAGCTTAAAATAAGCATACTGTATATAATTTGAATTGACATTAATTCAGATATTTAAAAAAGGAATACACCTTTTTGGTCTATGTTTTTTGTATATATTTTAAATGAAAGCAAACTTGGGTGAGACTCAAAGTAGAGTCTCAAGGTTCGCAGCCTTTCCACCAAGCGAGCTGATGCTTGTGTGTTAAGGAGAGGTGCTGCCTTGCCATCAGGCATCCTGAGGTTTGGTAATTTCACAGCAGGCTTTGCTTACTGCTGACATGATTGTCCACAAGACAACAATAAGCTTGAGGTAAAATTTACTGATTGAAATTTCTTAACCTAATATTGCATATATTTCTGTAAAAGGAAGTTTTGTTAAATACCATGGGCATTATGAAAAGAATACCTTTTAGTCCTGCAGAAATTATGATCTAAAGATCTTGGAGGAAATTGAGTTTATAATTCATGAGCTCCAAAATGAGTAAATCAGTTGTGTGATTCTACCATATGTTTTTACAGTTCTCAAGAATATGCTTACCTTTTCTGAGGTTAAATGTCACTTACTTTTATCAGTATAATCATAGAAATGAAGGCTTACCCCAAGTAACCCCTAAAAATAAAAAAATTAAAAAATATTATCTTAAATGTATTAAGTAGATTTTTAGTTTATAATAGCTTAAAAATTAATATGAACTTACCAGGAGTTGGTTCAAAATAGAACTGATTAACTGTGAGAGAAGAAAAATCAATGATCAGTGCTATTATGGATTTATTTTAACTTAATACATACATAAGTTAAAATATTTTCTATATGAAAATGTTTTTAATGAAAAATTAATTCCTTTTTACTGCTTAGTTTTTTATTTGCATGATGTAAGATTTTTAAATGAGAATGCAATATCTAGATTCAAATTATCTTAATTCTGTCAACTATAATAAAAAAGTGGAGAAATTGGTAAAAAAAAAAGTCACTTGTAATACCAGCAAAAGTTTAATATCTTGGCTATTTAGTGACTTGCTTGTTTCACTTAATACTGTTGGTATTAAGAGATGATAATAAACAGAAAAAAAACTGAACAAAAATAAATTCCCTTAATTCACAGAACTATTTTCCTATAACTGCTTGTAACTGTATTCACTATATCTAAAAGATAGAAAATTGATGTGAATGGTTAATAAACTCACTGTGTACACTTCCATACAAGTGCTTACTTATATTACGCAAATTCCCCGTGTGAATGATACTGGAACCGACATTTTAGGACAACTATGAGTACTTTGCACCGAGGGTTTGCTTACACAACCAGTTTCACTGGAAAAGTATTGCTTTGTAGCTTCCACGTGGTTGTTCTGTTTTAGGAGGCTGGCAGCTTGCTCAAAGACCATTGACCTTTTGACCAGCAAGGCAAAGCTCTCTATTTGTAGAGCTGCCAGGTTAGGCACTGTCTTGACTTGTTCTTGACCTGAGTATCGCTTGTTCTCTTAGGATGCTTTTTCCTGCTCCCTGACTTAAGTAGGATCACTGGGAGAAGAAAAAAGTATGACCATGAAGATACAGCAGTTTCTATAAATCATTCTGTCAGGATTCTTTCCAGGATGGGTTGTGGCCAACAGTGCTTTAAAAAAAAATTCAGCCGAAACCGGTTTGGCTCAGTGGATAGAGCGTCGGCCTGCGGACTGGGGGGTCCCAGGTTCGATTCCGGTCAAGGGCATGTACCTGGGTTGTGGGCACATCCCCAGTGGGAGATGTGCAGGAGGCGGCTGATCGATGTTTCTAACTCTCTATCTTTCTCCCTTCCTCTCTGTAAAAAATCAATAAAATATATTTTTAAAAAATTTCAGAAAAACAAAATATAAGTAGATGTTAAGAGTTCAGTTCTACTAGTAGGTAAACTGAATGAGTCATGTGTCTGAGGAGTCAATATTTTCATTGGAGGGGACCTTGGAGCTAAATATATACATTTACCTAAGGTCATGTAGATAATTTAATTGTAACAATGAGATTAAAATTTAGACTTTCAAATCACAGGCCAGTGCTCTTTTAGCCATGTTTTGATAGAAAGATGAACTTGCTAATTTTTGTAATTACCAATAATTAGTCATTGAAGGTAGTTTCTTAAAACATTTTTAGTTAGAGATATTTTCCTTTTGGAGTTAGACAATAATGCTGCTTAAACAGAATGGATTATGGGAAGAGCACTTAGGTATTTGAACTCAAAAGACTTAGGTTCTTTTTTAGTTGGGCTCAGAGCTACCTGTTTGACCTTAACATTTCTGGGACACTTCAATGTTCTTCAAGATGGTAGACTTTAAATAGTCTATATTGAAGGATCCTGAAAATTTTATCTTGTAATTTTGGCCTAACTTTCTGACATTATTACAAAATACTGCATGTCCCTGATTCTATGGTACCATGATTATAAAATGCACCATTTAGTTAATGAGAGCATTTTGAAGAAAAAGGAAATTCTAGATGAAATCTAGTATCTGCTGTGGTATGTGTCTTGATTTCAGAAAATGTTTAAGTGTGAAAAGTATTTTTTTAGACCAGGACATAGAATTTTTAAATATCTTCTGTAACTCCACGTATTTATCCTGTGTTTCTGTAAACTAAGATTCTGAATAACTTATTGTATCAATAAAAGGCCTCCTTAAAAAAGTTGAATGATGTGCAATTTAGTAAAGAATTATCTGTTGGGATTTAGACTTGATAAACTTTAATGTATTTATGTTTATGCTAATGCTTTGTTAGAAGAAATAATCAAGTCTGTTTCACCTCTTCTAAAGCAACTTATTCTGTAACTATTTAGTCTCATGACTCTTCACTTTCACCCTCATCAATAAGAGATGAGGTTGTTTTGTTGATTTATAGTTTGGATTAATTGAGTAAATGAATGTAGAACTGTTTGCAAGCATTGAGATTGTTTTTTTGTTTTTGAATTTAATAGCCATGCTTTATTTAGTTTCCAAATGAATTGGAATAATAAAGATAGTGATATTCATGATGAAGTGGCTCATCATATGTAGGATATTGAATGTAATCTATATATATAAAACCCTAATATGCAAATAGACTGAATGGCAGGACAACCAAACAACTGGTCGCTATGACGTGCGCTGACCACCAGGGGGTGCACACAGAACATGGCAGGCGTCGGCCGCAGTGGGATGGTGGAGCAGGTGAGTGGGGGAGCCAGACCACGGTGGGGTCTGTGCTGTCATTGGGGTGAGCCTCTGGTGGTTACTGAAAATTCTTTGCTCCCACACACCACGGTCCTGCTGGGCACTTGCACCTGCTGCTGGCGCCAGAACCGCCGCTCGCATCCATTGCGAGCACCCTGAGGCCTTATCGCACCCACTGATGGTGCTGGCCCCAATTGCTTCGCGTCATCAGTGGGTGTGAGTGGCGCTGGTGCTGTCAGCGCATGGGAGTGGCAAAGGGAGCAGGGCTGCTGGCAGATGGGACCAGGGGCTGCAGTGGGAGAGGCCAGGCGGGGGCATGGAGGATGGGCCAAAACCCGCCCCTATGCCCACTGCAGCCTCATGGCTCACAGTTCCTTGCAAGGTGCACGAATTCGTGCACTGGACCCCTAGTATTTTTATAAACTTTATGGATTAACAGGCTAGAATATATTTACCGCTATTATGTCATTAGGTGTCAGGACCTAAAATAAAGGAAACAATCAAATAATCAAGGAGGTGTAATTCAGCATTTTATCTATCTTTTTTATGTTACACATTTTATATTAGCTTGATTAAATGAAAACATGCTTTTTAGAATTCTTAGCATTACCAAAATTATGTCATTGAAATTCATATTTGCTAATATTTTAAGTAAATCCCTACAGCCAACTCCCCCATTTTCTTTTGTGAGCTCCAGATGTAGTAGGGACTTTTAGGGAAGATCATTAAACTTATGCTTACTGGGTTGGAAAAAGGCTATATTTTGGGATTACTTCTTTATGAGAGAAAACTTTAATGTCATTTCCTATAATTTTAGGAAAGATTATTGTTATGTACACAACTTACTTTTTGGTTTGTGACTGAGTCAATCTCGTCATTTGTAATTATTCCTCATTCAATACAATCCCTTCAGAAGTAAAATTTAAATCAGCAGTTCTCAACCTGTGGGTCGGAACCCCTTTGGGGTCGAACGACCCTTTCACAGGGGTCGCCTAAGACCATCAGAAAACACATATATAACTACATATTATTTTTGTGATTAATCACTATGCTTTAATTATGTTTAATTTGTAACAATGAAATTGGGGGTCACCACAACATGAGGAACTGTATTAAAGGGTCATGGCGTTAGGAAGGTTGAGAACCACTGCTCTACATAATCAAGAAAATTTCAGGTCTTAGGTAGTTCAGTTTTCAAGAGTATGCGAGATTTGTACATTAAAGGACTCAAGTCAGACAAAGTATCAATAACTAATGATCCCTGTAAGAGAATAATAACCATTAATTCTTATATCAAATTCTCCTCTGATTAAATTGAAATAATTTTCAAGTTTTGTTTTGTATTCATTTAAATACTTTTTAAAAGGGAACTTTAAGTATAATTACCTGATTTGGATTATATGGAAAAGGAAGAGGAATTGGAATCTACCAAAAAAAAAAAGAAAAGAAAAAAAAAGAAAGAAAAAAGTGAGTTGCGAATAAAATAAAATGTGAACATTTTGCTTTGGCTTTTTTCTCACTTATGCATTCATTTTCTCAACCATCCAGTCATCCATCCATCCAGTAATTATGGAGCAATCATGTGCCCTCAGAGAGCCCACCTTCTAATTCGTGGAGGTTAGATTCCAAAGCTTCATAATTTTTTTCTTTCAAGAGGTATGCTTATTTTGCTTAATTAGTCAAACCTAAAGCCCAGGAATCTGTTCTACATGTTGATAATTCTTGCAAATCTATCGGTTTCTCTACAGTTCATTCTTTGCCTGATATTTTTTTTCCTGTTCAGCCATTTCATATAGGAAGAGGACACAAATAAATCTTCCCTCTTCAGATCATGGCAATTTTAATTACCCCATAAGCACAGCCACTAAGATCTATTATTAGGAGAAAACGTGGCAAAGGGGAAACTTTGCCTGATAGTTAATACTACTCTGCCACCTGGTGGAAGGAAGAGTTTCCATTTCAAATACCAGTGATTTTTTCCATATAGATTTACACTTAATTTTATTATAGAGATGATATAGACATCATCTCTATAATTTTATATAGAGATTCCTATATTCTAATTATAAACCAAGACTTTAGAATTTTGTATTAATTTAAAACAAATCTTACTGAAGGTCAGCCCAGAAAGGGGAACAATGCACCTAGATTTGACTAGAACAGTGATGGCGAACCTTTTGAGCTTGGCGTGTCAGCATTTTGAAAACCCTAACTTAACTCTGGTGCCGTGTCACATATAGAATTTTTTTGATATTTGCAACCATAGTAAAACAAAGACTTATATTTTTGATATTTATTTTATATATTTAAATGCCATTTAACAAAGAAAAATCAACCAAAAAAAATGAGTTCGCGTGTCACTTCTGACACGCGTGTCATAGGTTCGCCATCACTGGACTAGAATAAAAATAATTAGCAATTAATTAAAATGTGAGTACTTAGAAATTTAGTGGCTAAGATTCAGTTAGGACATGTGAAAATGTTTCAAAAGAATGTTCCAGTGAGGACTGTAACTTTGGTGACAAATTTCCAAAAGCCTACTTGAAGTTGAGAAGTAAACCATTTGAAATTAAATACCAGCAAAGGGAAGGTGTTTGTTATATTTAGATATAAAAACAAAATTACACAGAATCGTATTTATGTTTTAAACATATTTTTAGGTGATAAACAAGACGTTAAGCAAGATGCTATTTTAAAATTTGTGTGAACTTTCCAAAACATCATTGCTTAAATACTGTCCAAATTTAACGTTTCCAACCTGTGTTGCAGCCCCATTGTACTGGTCATTCTTCCCCCAAATTGCAAGGTCCTTCTTAGGTCTGTCCCAAGCATTGCGGTTCCCTCTGCCTCACCCACTTCTCATCCTGGCTCAGATGCCATCTCCCTGTGAATGAAGTCTTTGATCCACAGCCGAAGTCAGCTTTGCATTTGCATCTAGATGCACTTATCAAATCACAGTGGTTTTTTTTTTCATTTATGAATTTCTCTTCCTCATCAGACTGTGAACTTAAACTCTTTTGTATTTCCAGCCCTCACTATAGACCCCATTAGATAATAGACACTCAGTAAATATTAACCGAATGAATGCTGTTGGCGTCAATAAAAGTATTACATACAGAATAAAGGCATTTCTATTATGTATTTAGCATTGTTCTGACCTTTATTAAAAAGTGTTATAAGAATTCAGATATTAAAAAGATGAGAGAGGGTCCAATAAGAAGAGCAAACCAATTTATTGTTTGACCTGTGAGAAAAACTTAGGAAGAGCTGGAAAAAAAAAAACTTTGTAGAGAAAAGAAAGCAACAAAGTGATTAAGAAAAAAAAAAAAAGAATGGGTCTTATAGAAAGAGGTTAGTATTCTCTTCATGGAGAGTAACTAGCCTCATCATAGTTTAAGTAACTCAGTATAAATACTTTCTTGATGGCAAGAGGAGGAGACACTGAAGATTTGGGGGGAAGTTTGCTAGTCCCTTGTCACACTCCACCACAAGCTATGTGGGGAGGGGAGTGTGAGTAGCAGATGCCTGGCAACCTTGTAAGGCTTCACATTTCTCTATTAAAATTTGGAAATTTTTATCATCATCATCATCCAACTAATAAGTATTCTTCACAATTTGAGATTTCCCAAATCCATACTTACCGGGGGCAGCTGTGGAGGTGGGAAAAATGGGATCTGAGGAAAAAATGGTAGTCCTTGGGGTGGGTAAAAGCTAAATCTCTGTAAGAAGAAACATGAAGTCAGTGATTGTAGACAATTGCAAACTCTTAAAATGATGAACATGTCCTTTGAAAATACAATTAGAAGTTTACCTGACCACTGGAACTGCCTCCAGATTGTTCGAGCTTGTAAAACAATAACAGCAATGAGGTGAAGCAACATATGTGGCAAAACATTACTCATTACAAAGAGATTTTATTCTAACTGAGGGTAGGTAACAAGCTGTTACTGAGCATGATACTCATCAGTAATGTAGCTTCACCTCTGAAATAAAACACGGCTGAGTATCTAATAAGGAAAAGTTGAATTAATTCTTCCCAGTGATCAGAATGGAAATAAGTTTCTTCAGATTAATTAATACTACATGCCTCTTTTTCTTTGAATCAACAATGTTGTCAGCATCTGGAAGTTAAAAGTGAAGGGAGTATGGAAGTATAAGTTTAGATTTGGTATCTCCAAACACAAATTTTGAAAGCTCCCTCACTTCTCCGAAAACCCCTCTGTTAAAAAAAATGTGCAGGGAAGAGGGTTTCTTGCCTACGTGGTGTCCTATGTATTCAGACTATAATAGACACAGGTTAGACTCATAGATCTCACTTGTATAGATGTAGAAAGCATGGCTATAGTCAACCTGAGGCAGTTTGGGGTAAGGGTATCCTACATAATAAAAGCATGGTATGCAAACTGTCCCCTGGACAGGGAGGTCGTCAGGAGTTTGACCAGGGGGCGGGGCCAGCTGGGGGAGGGGAGGGAGGCCCCAGCTGGCAGCCGACAGCCACTAGGGACACTACCAGTGCATGAATTTTGTGCACTGGGCCTCTTGTTATAAATGAAACTCAATTCAAACTGTGTAATTAAGACCTAGGTCACGCCCTAGCCAGTTTGGCTCAGTGGATAGAGTGTGTCAGCCTGTGGACCAAAGAGTCCCGCATTTGATTCCGGTCAAGGCCATGTACTTTGGTCAGGCTCCTCCCTGGCCCAGGCCCTGGTCAGGGCTTGTGCAGGAGGCAATCAATCGATGTATGTCTCTCACATCGCTATTTCTCTCTCTGTCTTTTCCTCTCTCTTCCACTCTCTCTAAAAATCAATGGAAAGATATCCTCGAGTGAGGATTAAAAAAAAAAAAAAGACCTAGGTCACTGCAGAATATTTGTTCTCTCTTGCTAAGTTTATTTAAGAGTTTCCTGTGCTCCAATTAGGACTCTTCAGTGCTCCTGCATTTTTATCATTTTCTGCAGGTCCTGAGGTCGCTCTTATAACTCACTTTACAGACTGGGAAGCCATGGGTTTCTTCCTCGCTCAAGGTCACGCACTTAGCAAATAGCACCATGCAGCTGGGATTTGTATTGGGAAGACCCTTGGTCTGAGGGAAAAACAGGACGTGTCTGGGTCTACAACATTGCTGGACTCCACGATCCTCTTTTGTGAAATGAGAACATATAGGAAATGCTTTCTAGCCCAGAAATACTGTCTCTAGAATGCAAGTGGAGTGGGCAACTGGCGGGGAGTACTCACAGGGATGGGCAGAGCAGTGGCAGTGCTCAAAAGGCCAGTCAGGATGAGAAATTCCATTGTGAGGGAGGAGTCTGGAATGAAAGGGTTAGGACAGTGGTCGGCAAACCGCAGCTCACGAGCCACATGCGGCTCTGTGGCCCCTTGAGTATGGCTCTTCCACAAAATACCACGTGCGGGCGCACATGTACAGTGCAATTGAAACTTCGTGGCCCATGCGCAGAAGTCGGTTTTTGGCCTGAGCGAGTCTATTTTGAAGAAGTGGCGTTAGAAGAAGTGGGGGTACATTCGCTGAGGTCGACCCCTCAGATTGAGGACGTTTTTAGCAAAGGCCAGCTTAGGAGTACCCTAATTAAGTTAATAACAATGTACCTACCTATATAGTTTAAGTTTAAAAAATTTGGCTCTCAAAAGAAATTTCAATCGTTGTACTGTTGATATTTGGCTCTGTTGACTAATGAGTTTGCCGACCACTGGGTTAGGAGATCATTATCAGGCTTGTTGTTTTTTTTTTGCCTACCTCCTATTCCCATTGTAATAGACTCTTTCTTTAGTGAGAGGAGTTGAAATCGTGGTCAGGCTAACTTCTGCCTCTAGATTCAGGCTCTGTAAGCCTAGACTGTGCTTTAAAATGCATTGAATGTCTTTAGATGAGACACACATTCTCTGGTTCATAGCATTGCATTCCTACTCTTCCTCATAATCTATTCCAGTGGTTCTCAACCTTCTGGCCCTTTAAATACAGTTTCTCATGTTGTGACCCAACCATAAAATTATTTTTGTTGCTACTTCATAACTGTAATGTTGCTACTATTATGAATTGTAATGTAAATATCTGATATGCAGGATGGTCTTAGGCGACCCCTGTGAAAGGGTCGTTCAACCGCCAAAGGGGTCGCGACCCACAGGTTGAGAACCGCTGATCTATTCTGTTCGGTCCCTGAAGTTATTTGAATTTGTTATGCTACCCACAGATCTTCAAACACCAGTGTTATATCATGCTTAGTATTGGGGATGTACCATTACTGGCTCAAATGAGATTCCTTATGTAATATACAAATAAATCCACCTTGAGCTTCTACGAACCCTGTGAGACTCACCATGGTCTGGATGCTGTTACTGACAACTTTAATTTCTCAAGGAGGAAAGGATCTGGAAAAAATCTTGTAAGGTATAATGGGTTGGCAGACAAAAAGCATAATATGAGTAGATTCCATAAAGCAAATCAATGTCATCTTTACTGGCTAGTTGATTCAGAAAGCAGACCTTTTTATGGTCCTCAATCACACGTAATTTAAATGAACTTACCTTGTGAGTTTCCAGCCAAATCACTGAACTCTAGAACTGAATTTTGGAAGAAAAAGAAACTTCATCATGTTCTTATTAAGACTTGTCCCCAGGATCTGAAGCAAGATGTACCTCTTTATATATAAGTCACTCTTCAACTATTTCATATGTATTTGAAACTGAAATCCGATTTAACTTTGTGCCATTTTATTTTGCCTGAATTTAAGCAACTTATCCCCCTCTCCCTCCTTTCCCCACATCTCTCCTTTGTAGTTTTCTTCCTTAGATTCAAACCCTTGAATTTCTTTTTTCCTTTGTCAACTGAAACTATTAGAAATCATTAAATTCTCCAACACAAGAATATCTTACATTCTTTTACCTAGTGCAATAGAATCAACCCAATGACACTGTATGTCTTTTTAAAAAATTACCTTTGCTTCAAATGGCCCTCGGAGCAAGAATTCAAGGAGCAGTGTGATCTCCTAGTACCTCTATGCCCATCTAGTATTTAAGCTGTATTACTAATGCCTTCATGGGTATGGGCAATATGAGTCATAAAATTCAAAGCTAAAGTGAATAATTGTTTCCAGACTAGAAACTCCAACTCATAAAGTCTCTCCATTGCACAGAGAGAGGATTAAAGACTGATTACTGAGAAAATAACTTCATCCCCTTGGTTGGGATTAGGGCAACGTCTTTATCACAACCCACAGTTAAACACTGTGACCACCAAGAGTATTAAAGTGCTTCTACAACATGTCATTTGGGGCAGTGATACACATGGGAGCCTGAACAGATAGAAAATGTTAAGCTTCTAAAATTTTCTATTTTTAGATAATATTTTTTATTTCAAAATAAAACATTTTTAGTAAATATTTAGGTAGTGTCTTCAGCATTAGAAATCACTTTTCACTATTCCAAAACATGCAAAACATTTAAAATGATAATTTAGGTCTAATTAATACCACTAAGTACAATTTCACTGTTCCCAGCAAACTCATGAATACAAACTTGTTTTGTAATTAGTTAAGACCTCTCATGACATTTCTTTAGAGCTACATACAAAAACATTCTAAATTTGGGATAATTTCTAAAATTATTTCCCTCATTGGAAAAATATAATAAATAATAATTAGATTTTGACTAACCAAATTGAACTTAATTACTTAGACATGACATGGTGTGATGTGCTCTGGTTAAGAACAAGTGACTCATTGAGCTAAGAAGAGAGATAAATAAAATTTTGAAGTTAATCAGGGAAGATTATCCTGATAAAAACAAACTCAGCCGTAAGTATACTACAGATAGAGTTCTTAGGGGCACATTATCTCAGTGACTATCAGAGATAAAGCTCTTACCAACAACACATTTCTGATTGTTGAAAGAAATAATCAGAGATAATTGCATTGATGTCTTTTCTTTCATGTAAGAAAATATGTAAAAAACCATTTTATTTTCTTTCAAATATTTAAAGTAGAGTAAGGGAGACAAGGTCTTTCAGATCCTACAAACTCTATTATGGTGTCTTTTATATTTTTGCAATCTAGCTTTTACTGTAATAATAGTTACCAAAAATGAGCTCAAATGAGAACACACTTTCTCTTAAGACAAATGTTCTTGCTTCAATTTACAGTAGTGATGTTTACCGCTGACTCTATTGGGCATCAAAGCAATTCAGGAATCTCCACTGTCCGTGTTATCTTTACACTATTTTGAGGACATGAAATGTGTAGAATTTTTGCAGGGCCACCCTCTCTCCCCAAAACACATGGACACCTGCATAAAAGCTAAAGTTAGTTCTATCAAGCAGTGCACAATCGTCTACATTTTTAATTGAATCGATAAAGAACACTTGAATTCACTTGTTCCCTGTTTAAACTTACATTATGACAAAGGACATTCATGAGCAACTACCATTTAACAACTGAACATTTGTTTCCCATAGGAAATGTCTCTCCCAACCACGTTCACACTTGTATTTTTTTTAACTAATAGGGTCTAGGAAGCACAATTATAATTTGATATGAAGCGTGAGCCCTGGGTTGATCTTTCACATATAGTTCTTTAAATAAGTGACTGGAAAAAAACTTAAACAAGTACTTGGATTTCTATGGATTTTATTAGGGTATTAATACATGGAAAATAATACACATTCACAACAAAAGGGCATTGTTGCATTTTCTCGACATGCACATGGTATTACAGACAAAAGGACGTATCTCATAAATTGATACAGTGTGATGAGTTAAACTGTTTACAAACAGCATACAGCATTTTGCATATATCAACTTCACTTAAGGTTAAAGTCTTATTTCCAACATCAATGTTAAATGGCTGGTGCATATACAGTTATCAAGCAATTACTCTCATTGTCTTCTCAGACATGCAAACATTCTGCTAAATATAAATCTACACGTATCACAGCTGCATGGATTTCAGAAGTGGTCAGCATAGAGGAGGATGCTGGGAAGTTTGAGTTTTTTCAGATCTTAATTCAAAACAGGAGGTTTTCATCTATGTCTTCTGTAAAAAAGCGAAAACAAAACAAAGCACATTTTTAGGAAGTAGCCAGAGAAGTACTAGAAACAAACAACATTGGAGCTAAAGAATTAGAACAGGCAGCATGATGGTTCTCATCCTGGGGAGGGCATTGGTCACCTGTGAAGCTTAAAACAATATATAATTTCAGGCTTCATGCCTGGCTTCCTGAATCAGAACCCCCAAGGGTGGGCCAGTGGCGTGTGTACATTTAGAAAGCTCTGCAGGTCGTCTACGGCCATACCACCCTGAACGCGCCCGATCTCGTCTGATCTCGGAAGCTAAGCAGGGTTGGGCCTGGTTAGTACTTGGATGGGAGAAAGCTCTGCAGGTAGTTCTGATGCAGGGTTGAGAACCACTGATAGAGGATGTTGCAGGGAGGCCCAGCCAAGTAATGCCAAGTATACTAATCTGTAAGGGTTGTTAAGATATAATGGAAATAAGTGGAGGTCCAGTGACAAATCAAATTTCCAATAGAGTAATTGGAAAAGAACTTGTTGCTGCACCTACGGAAGAAGACAGCATCCTCAGGGGGCTATAAGACTGCCCCTTACCAGTATGGCCCTCCCTCACTCAGCAATTGTTGCAGACTAAGCTACTACCCTGTCTGGGGCACCAGGTAATTCTCCTGCCCAATATAAATCTTCCTCTCACTCCAAGAGTGGGAAAAATGATGAGTTTGGTCTATTTCTTTGGAGCACTGGCTTCATTTGTAAAATTGGGATAATAGTTTCATTACTTATAAACTAATTTATATCCTATATAATAAAAGCCTAATATGCTAAGTGTCCAGTTGTCTGGTCGGCCGTTCAACCAATCAAAGTGTAATATGCTAATGATATGCAAAGGCAGCTCAACTGCTCACTATGACATGCACTGACCAGCAGGGGGCAGACAGTCAACTGGTCAGCCAGTTGCTATGATGCGCACTGACCACCAGGGGGCAGACGCTCCAACCAGTAGGTTAGCTTGCTGCTGGGGTCCGGTCAATTGGGACTGAGTGAGACGGGGTTGGACATGCCTTGGAACCTTCCCACTGTCCCTCCCTGCTGGCCAACCTCCTGTGTCCCTCCCAGCCCCGATCATGCACCGGTGGGGTCCCTCAGCCTTGCCTATGCCCTCTTGCAATCCGGGACCCCATGGGGGATGTTGGAGAGCCAATTTTGGCCCCATCCCACAGTCCAGGCCAAAGGACTCCACTGGTGCATGAATTCGTGTACTGGGCCTCTAGTTTGTTTATATTCTTGAATATATCTTGAATAGGTTTCTAATATATAACTTGAATGTGTTTATTTTTTGTTTCCCTAATGTAACTGCCCTAGTTCAAGCTCTCATCAACTCTTGCCTAAATCTACCACATCATCTTCTCAACTGTTTTTTAGCTTCTCCACAATGCAAACAAAAGAATCTTCCTTAAATATACACCCAATGAAATCACTCCTTGTTTAAAACACTTTGGTGATCCTCCAGGACTCCTAGGGTGATGTCTTTAACTGGCTTAGTAGGACCTGCATGATCCAACTTGTTTACCCTATTAGTCCCACTAGGAAGGCTTTCCTGAAGATTAGTGTGGATATATGTCAATAAGTATACATACACATGTTATGTCCTGGGCAGTAAATAAATAAGACTCCACCACCTCTTAAATGAACCCCTTTTTGGACATAGAAGGAAAATGAGACCTGCGGGGGACGAGTGGCATACCCTAATTCACATAGCCAGTTAATGACAGAGCTGGAATATTTGAGCACATTTAGTTCACATCAAAGGCCATTAAAATTCAGGAAAAGCCTGGCTAAAATTATCGTGTCCTTCTGTTGATTTCTCAGCCCAGAGGGAAGGAAGGATATACTTACAAACTGAGACATACCTGTTTTTGCTTTCCCTATCTGTGTCCCAAAGCAGTAACTTGTTTACTGGTTCTGACTGAATGTTTCATATCTGCTTTATTGGCTTACTGTGTGATAATTCTTTCCCTTCTTCATAATAACGTAATCACAGCCAAACCACACTGAACAAACAAGACCATTAGGAGCTTTGCAGTCACTGGACTTTAAGCTCTTCCTGCTCCTCCCAGACAACCACCCAGCCCAGAGCCTGAGGGAGCCTACGTGCTGAACAGTGGCCACAGTTTCCTTAAATAAACGGTCTCTGTTCATATTTGTCTTTTGCTTCCTTCTTTAAAATCAGGTGCCATCTAAAAGGGCATACACAAGAACGTCCTGCCCCAGCCACGTTATTCCCTCTCCAGAATGGTGGGTGGCAGGGGGAGACACACACACACACACACACACACACACACACACACACACACACACACAACACACACATCTCAATGTGAGAGAGAAACAAGAGAAACATCAGTTGGCTGCCTTTCACAAGTGCCCCAACTGGGAATCGAACCTACAACCTTTCAGTGTACAGGATGATGTCAACGAACTAAGTCACTCTGGCCAGGCTAGGGTGATTTGTTATGCAGCAACAGACAACTAATACACAGAACTGGTTGCTTACAAAAATATACATTCTTTGCTCATTATGGTTGTGCTTATTTCACAGAATAATATTGTAGAGAAAAAGAACTAATACTTTCTGCTTGCCTATTTATCAATAAACTAGAGGCCCGATGCAGGAAATTTGTGCATGGGGAAGGGGGTTCCTCAGCCTGGCCTGAGCCCTCTCACAATCCAGGACCCCTCACTCCTAACTGCCCGCCTGCTCGCTCCTTACTACTTGGCTCACCACTCCTTAGCGCTGCTGCGCTTGCCAGACACGAATCCGGCTTCTGGCTGAGTGGCGCTCCCACTGTGGGAGTGCACTGACCACCAGGGGGCAGCTCCTGTGTTGAGTATCTGCCCCCCCTGGTGGTCAGTATGTGTCATAGCTACCAGTTGTTCTGGTCCTTCTGCCGTAAGGGTCGCTGGGCTTTTTTATATATAGACTAGAGGTCCAGTGCACAAAATTTGTGCACTCAAGGGGGGGAGGTGCCTCAGCCTGGCCTGTGCACTCTTGTAGTCTAGGAGCCCTCAAGGGATGTCCAGCGGGAGTGGGCCTAAGCCTGCAGTAGGACATCCGTAGTGCTGCTGTGGAGGTGGGAGGGGCTCCCGCCACCATGGCTGCGCTCACCAGCTGTAAGCGGGCTTCTGGCTGAGTGGTGCACCCCCTATGGGAGCGCACTGACCATCAGGGGGCAGCTCCTGCGTTGAAAATCTCCCCCCTGGTGGTCAGTGTGTGTCATAGCGACCAGTTGTTCCACTGTTCAGTCAATTTGCATATTATCTTTTTATTATATAGGATATATAGATAACGAATTCATCATATTCTCAGCTCTTTCTAATTTCAAGGCATTATACATGTGCATAAAGACTACCTTAAAAGTGAAGTTCACACAAGTTACCTCTTTTGGGGAACTTCTAACCTTTGAGGAACTTAATTTACTGCTTGGTCATATGTTATTCTACATGTATATTGTGAATATATGTCTGAAACCTCAGTCTTAAGGATTTGATCTTCACTGTTCATTTACATTGTAAGCAGTTTTGATTTCCTATTTTTAAAAACATCTTTCAGCCCTAGCCGGTTTGGCTCAGTGGATAGAGCCTCGGCCTGCAGACCGAAGGGTCCAGGGTTCAATTCCAGTCAAGGGCACGAACCTCGGTTGCAGGATCCTCCCTGGACTGGGCCTGGGTTGGGGCATGTACAGGAGGCAACCCATCGATGTGTTTCTCTCACATCAATGTTTCTCTCTGTCTCTCCCTCTCTCTTCCACTCTCTCTAAAAAGTCAATGGAAAAATATCCTCAGGTGAAGATTAACAACAACAACAACAAAAAATCTTTCAAATTTTGATTATTGAAAACATGCTTGCTCATAAAAATCAACTCTAACTTAGGAAAAGAAAAGCAAGTAGATTAAGACATAACCTAGCAAAATAAATGTCTAAATTTAAATTCCTCTACTGTGGGAGTAAGTAAAGAAAAACCCTCTTAATTTAATTTTTTATTTTTGTCACTGAAGATGAAGTAATGAGTCACTTTTGGGTTAAAGGAATACTATTGGGATACAACTTGTGATGTAAGACCCAGCTCTTGTTGGTGTGTTGGTAATGAACTCTGAGATTCTTCTGATGTCTCCCATCGGCAGAAGCAGGCTGGCTGTTTTACTCTTCACATATGATTTTTTAAAAGTTTGGTCCAGCCTGGCTGGTGTAGCTCAGTGATTGAGCGTCAGAATATGATGAATTAGTTATCAAACCAGGAGGTCAAGGTTTGATTCCCAGTCAGGGCACATGCCTGGGGATGTGCAGGACGCAGCTGATCAGTGCTTGTCTCTCATCATTGATGTTTCTCTCTCTCTCTCCCTCTCCCTTCCTCTCTGAAATCAATTATATATGCAATGCCCTCTCCCTCTCCCTTCCTCTCTGAAATCAATTATATATGGCATTGCATATATAATTAAGGTTAAGGAAGGATATCAAATCCTTTTCTCAGAAGGGCAGCCTTCTGAGATTTGCCACAACTCTCTGGGTTCACATCATTTTATTAGGCTTAACCAACTGCTGAGACCTCAATGCAGTTATCCTCTAAATATTCACACTTGCTACTCTTTGAGCAGCATAAAGGGAGTCAGAGATAACCTTGCCATGAGAGTATTTTCTCTGAAGGAGTCCTGCCTGGGATGCTGCCACCTTGCAGTTTCTAGGTTTCGATTGGAACACACAGCTGGCCGTCTCTATGAGGGCTACAGGGCTTAGGTTTCATCGGTTCTCAACCTGTGGGTCGCGACCCCTGAAAATACATCCTGCATATCAGATATTTACATTACGATTCATGACAGTAGCAAAATTACAGTTATGAAGTAGCAACGAAAATAATGTTATGGTTGGGGGTCACCACAACATGAGGAGCTGTATTAAAGGGTCGCGGCATCAGGAAGGTGGAGAACCACTGGTAGAGAATGATGATGAATTTACCTTCTTTAATCCCAAAGCAGTGGCCCCACTCCTTCAGGGTGATGTGCTTATCCTTGTTGGGGTCACACTCATCAAAGAAGCGGGTGATGCAGTGCTCCATGGGCACCAGGGATGCTCGCAAAGGAGCGAGCTCCGAATGTGTCAAGACTCTGCAATGAAATTCATGACAGCCTATTAGCTGAGTAGCTTGTGTGTGAACGTTTCTTTAATCCCAAAGCAGTGGCCCCACTCCTTCAGGGTGATGTGCTTATCCTTGTTGGGGTCACACTCATCAAAGAAGCGGGTGATGCAGTGTTCCATGGGCACCAGAGATGCTCGCAAAGGAGCGAGCTCCGAATGTGTCAAGACTCTGCAATGAAATTCATGGCAGCCTATTAGCTGAGTAGCTTGTGTGTGAACGTTAACTCTTAGAATCACCAAGGGCGTCTTTCTTCCACAAGATTGCTGACTATGCCAAATGAATAGAACGCTCATGAAAAGTTGCAAATGAAAGAAACTATCTTTGGGTAAGATAGACAGCTTTTGGGGTGTCAATTCTTAAAGTTCCCTTTTTCATTGAAAACTGCCCTCCCGCCATTCTAAATTTGTAGGGGTGCACCCTAGAGATCATGTTTCTGCAAACTGGCCCTACCTGATTGTTCCAGATGTAGCACTTGACCCAAGTTGGGCCAATCAGATTATCTTGGGACTTTAGGATCAAGAGTGAGAGAATTAGAAGAGTCTCAGTGGGAAACGTGTGAACTTGGGAGCTGGGGTGTGGCCAGACTCTATTATTTTCAAAGCAGTTTTGTGTTTAAACACCAAACCACATTTATTTGACATTTCAGTCTTCTAGACTGGAACCGGGAAATCCCCTAAATCTGTTTAGAATTCTCTTTGCGAGATAACTAGATATTATAACAGGAAAGTGACCTGGTCATGGGAAGGTAAAGAGTTCTTACCTGTCCATAGGATGTTGGTCAAGTTCACTGAACTGCCAGTGTACAGGGTACACATACATGTGGTAATTTTTCTTAAAGTCCCTTAAGAGAAGGTCAATGGAATGGTCCCCAGCCAAGAGTCTCTTTTCATCCAGGTAAATTTTCTTGACCTGGAATTAGGAAGGGAGAAAGATCATCAGAGAAATGTAATCAAATTATCCCTTGCTAAAGCTTACTTGAAGAGCAATGTAATACCATGACGGAGGAAAACAAGCCCAGGCCATTGTATGAGACCAAATGAAATGCCTTCTAATCAACAACAGCCTTTCTTTTTTCTACATAGGATAACAGCCAACAGTAAAACAACTTAAGTTTTCAGAAGAAATTTGTCCTTTTTGATTTTTTTCTTTTAACTAAATAATGTTTACTGCATTCCTTAAAACTATGAGAAGATTTTAACTGATTTAGGCAAAATTGTTGATTACTGAGTGAAAAGCCCAGTTTTCCCCCGTTGGCATACTCCATTCTTAATCCTCAGGGTATTGCCATCCACTGCCCGCTCAGGCTCAGGGTAGCCCTAGTGCGATACTGTTTGTCCACCCTACCTGAAAGTTCTGTTTTGTTTCTAATGCTCTCACGGCTCTCTGTGATGAGGTATTAAAGAGAGAGGATAGAAATTATTTTGGGGAAATGTGTGCAAAACTCCTAGCTTGTGGTGTTACCCGTTATTTCACTGAGTAATTGGAAGCAATCAGAACAGAACTTCTAACCATTCCCATGACCACATCTACCAGCTTCCCTCCTTATCAGTGTGCATGAACTTCCTGTGCTCCTAATCTAAGCCCTCCCCTCACTGGTGCCCGGAGCCCACCCCTCCTCATCTACTCAGGATAACCATGGCAGTTGGGCACCTTTCCTTCTTCACTGGCTTATTTCCAGAAACACAGGAGCCCCTTCATCATTTTCCACTGGGAGCTGGAACTCTTAAACTTACATCCCCCTCCAGCTTCCTCCCTATTTCACTGTTTTCCTTTGCAGCAAAATCTCTTGAAAATATTGTTTATACTTGCTGCTTCTGTATCCTTCCTCTTATTCTATTTTGAACCCTGTCCACTAAAGCTTTTCTCCTCTCCATTCTGCATTAATAGCTCTTGTCAAGATCAACTATGATCATCACATGCCAGATCAATGGCCAACTCTTAGTCCTCCTCTTACAACCTATAAACAGCTTTGACACAGTTTAGGTGCACCCATCTTCTTGTTTTATTTTTTCTTCATAGCACATTCCATCTCACCTGGCATACTTTATACATTTGCATGTATGTTCATATTTGCATATGTGAATATATACATATGCATGCACAAATCATATATTTAAATACACATGCACATATACACTTATTTGTTAAGAGTCTGTCTTTTTGCCTAGAATGTAAGCTAATGAAGGCAGGTATCTTTGTTTTGTTTATTGCTGTATCTCCAGCACATAAATCAATTCCAGCTACTGGAACAATTTTTTCCTGGGAACTTCTGGAATCAATATTCTGCACATTTTAATCTTAATATATTGCTGACATTGTGAGTAATGAATTCTCTTATACCATAAATCTATGTCTGGCCTATGAGGGCAAAAAGACATTTAGGTTTAAATAATATGTCTGGGCATGAATATATAAATGCTGAATTGAGGTTCAGCTTGCTTAAACAGAGGTTGCTCTAGGTATGAGTTAGACAGCTCTCCCTCAGGCTACTGCCCTTTGCATCGGAATGGGGTGGGTTAGCATGTCCCATACCTTGTGGCATGAATGGTCACCGCTACTATTCCATATGTGCCAACCAGACTGGGGAGGCAAAGTGGGCTTTTGCTATACGCTTAGGGAGGTAACCCCCTCCCCATCTATGCCCTGACCCCTTTTTTCCTCAGGCCTTCTGGACAGACCCTTAGGGAGCTGACCTGTGCATAACTTACTTTATTTCTCTGCTTCTCATTTAAATATCCAGCATGTTCAGGGTTAGGCTCATAAAGTTGCATGAGGATATTCTTGAGCCAGTCTCTCATTCTTAGAGGGAACTGAGTCACTTCAAAGTCCGTACAAGTAGGAATAGCTGTTTCAAGCAGAAAGTAAATCGATGTTAACCTTTGGGTCTTACTCCTGTCCTATGGCAAGTCCTCAGAACAGGAAGCGTGGCGACTAACAGCACCCTCAAGGCCCAGCCACCACCCTGGTGGCACAACAGCACTGCCCTGGGTGTTGAAGAAACCTATCAGATGCCAGCTTCCACTCAAAGAAATTCTGATTTGATTGCTCTGGGGTGGAGCCTGGCGTCAGGATGTTTCACAGGCTCCAACGGTAGCTTAGATGTGCAGCCAGGGCTGAGTACCGCGTCTCCAGAACCGGAGAGCTGGGACTTAGAGGTAGAGGACACGGCTGTTTATCAGGGGAAAAGAGAAAAAGCTAGAAGTTAGCTCTTACTGTGGTCACCATGCAATACTTTGAAATTCAGTGGCTTAAAGGAACCAACATTTGTTTTGTTCAGTTCTGCTGAGATATAATTGACATACAACACTGCACACATTTAAGGTGTGCAGAAGAACGACTTGACATGCATATATTGTGAGATGATTCCACAGTAAGTTTAGTTAACATCTATCATGACCTCACATAGTTACAATTTTTTTTTTTTTTACTTGTGATGAGAACTTTCAGGATTTACTCTCTTAGCAAGTTTCAAATATATCAGACAGTGGTATTAACTATGTAGTCAACATTGCATCGACGGTTTCTTTCTTGAGACCACTGCAAGCCCAGCACAAGTTGGCAGGAGGGCTCTCTGCTCACGGCAGTCTCTCTGGGCCTCAGCGCGATGGAGACACCACCTCTCAACACAGGGAAAAGGGAGCAGGGAGAACCACACAGCAGTTCTGAAATGCTGCTGCCCAGAATGCACATGGGTGATTTTTGCTCACATTTCCTTGGACAAAGCAACTGATATGGGTACATCTAAAAGCAAGGGGCCTGAGACATTTAGTCCTCTCCTGCGTCTAGGAGAGGAGACCGGAAATATTAGTGAGCACTGCTGATGTGGAGAATCACTTAGCGGTGAGGAGATCCAAAGACAATTGAGAATATCCTGGGAAAGGAAGAGGATTAAAAAAAAACATACAAAAAACTTCTGGAAGAATATGTTGTCATAAAAGTTCTTGGCAGGGGCTTAACTTGATTAGGGAAAAGGACAAATAATTTAGCAAAATTCCAATGATTCATCTCAATTATTAAGTGGATAACATTGTATAGTGGTTCTGAACCCCAGCCACACATTAGAATTGTCTAGGTTACTTTAAAAATAAATGAAAAAAAAAAAAAGCCAAGGTTCCAACCCAGTTCAATAAAATTGAAATCTCTTATGCTTAAAGCCTGGGCATTCTGCTTTTTCTTCTTCTTCTTTTTTTAAGTCTCCCAGGTTGGTTTTAATGTGCAGCCTGGGTTCAGGACTATATTAGCTTTCTCCTGTTTGCATACATATGAGCACATGTAAGTATGTTGTTCAGCTATGCAGATTCACCCAACCCTCTGAGCAATGGTGGCTGGTAGTAGTGATGGACTCTTACATTTGCAGGCTCCGAAGTAATCCAGCTGCAGTTGGTGCCCCTTTTTGGTCCCCTCCAGTCTGCACTTAGTAGCAAACAGATGGCAGGAGCTAGCATAGGTCTGATTGTCAGTGCCACAAACCTAGGAAAGACAAGCATGAGAAAAAACTCATGTCCCTGAATGCTCATTGGGAAAACGCTCAGCTCCTTAAAGCTCACTGTGCTGTGCCCCACAGGTGGTCAGGTAGGTGAGGCCATTAAAATTATAACTATCCCATTGGGCACAAAAAAATTAACTAAATTATACCAATGGTGATGACTAGTTAACTTCACTGTGCTGTGCCCCACAGGTGGTCAGGTAGGTGAGGCTATTGAAATTATAACTATCCCATTGGGCACAAAAAATTAACTAAGTTATACCAATGGTGGTGACTATTTAACTTTAGATAAGCTCAGTAGAATGAAACTGAAGATGTTCCAAGGATAGAGTGAATTTTAAAATGATTTCTATAGATCAGTGCCATTATTACCTTTCTAGGGCACAGTTGAAATTCTTTGATTTGGCTGCCATTTGTTCCTACTTAATATTAATTCAAATATTAGATGATAACCTGGGCTTTTACCTTTTTTTTTAATAAAAAATTTCAATGTCTTCTTTCATTTAAATCACTAGTTGGTGTGCCGTAGAGACCAGCTTGTAGGATACTTACCTGGTCAAGGGGTTTTGTAGGGGGACAAGTCATTGGATCTTGGCAAACACAGTGGGGTTTTCCCTGCTGGTCAGCCTTGCACATGTGTCCTCTTTTACACTGGAAGTTCATGCAAGAATCTAAGGTAAAAGTTTGGACAGGGTAAGCTAAATTGAATATATAAACTCAAATTCATCCAGATAACTAGCTCCACTTTCATTAAGAAGAGAAAATTTGGGAAAACTTCAGAAACCATTTTAATGTCAATTTTCAGGTCAGGTCCTCTGGCATAGACTATGTTACACAATAGTCTAGATTTTTCTATACACTTTGGTTCAGAAATTTAGGAAAAACAAACAACTCTCTTGGCCCGCCTGCAATAGTCATAGTCTGAAGTCTATAGTGCAATTTGTTTAGAAGTTAAATAAGCCATGAGAATTTTGTTGTGTTGGAATTAAAAATATTTGTGATTGGGAATTAGGTTTTAATTAAATATGGGATCTAAATTTCCTAGTAAGTTATGGATTTAAGAATCAAGAAGGTAGAATTAATTCCTCTCAGAAGCAAAAGGATTTAGATAAAATGAATTCTAAATTCAGTAATATTGCAACAGGACTTCCATTTGGTAAACACACATACTCATAGCTATATAGTAGTCCCCCTCATCTGCAGGGAATACTTTCCAAGACCCTCAGTGGATGCCTGAAACCATGGATAGTACTAAACACTTTATACTATGTTTTTTTCCTATACATACATACCTATGGTAAAGTATAACTTACAAACTAAGCATCGTGAAGTAGCTTTAAGCTACTATTGACCTTCTGGCGATATTCCAGGGGGGAGATCATTGGTTTTGGGAGAGTCTGGATCATCATGATGATATTGATGGTTGGATGTCAGGAGCAGATGATGTTCATCATTGGAACAACTTAATATTTTTGGACTGATGTTGACTGCAGATAGCTGAAACTGGAAAGCAAAACTGCAAATGGGGTAGACTACTGTATATGAAATGTGGGCAAGAGAATGTCTACAACAGGCCCTGACCAGGTAGCTCGGTTGGTTAGAGCATCGCCTGCTTGATATGCCAACGTTTCGGGTTAGATCCCTGATATGCGCATTCAAGAAGCAACCAATGAATGCATAAATAAGTGGAACAACAGATTGATGTTTCTCTCTCTCTTCATCTCTCTCTCTCAAATCAATTTTTAAAAGAGAGAGAGAATGTCTATAATTTATGAGAGCATTTCCTTAGGGAGAACTGGGGAGAGGAGAATTCTGTGAAATAAAGGATAGGGGTAGCCCAATATAGCCGATTCCATCTCTTCCTTGATATAGTCACAAACAGCCCATACTCACCAACATCGTATACCCTAATGTTGCCTTCAGTTGAACTTTCATCTTCATTCAGTGGGCTCTCTGCTTTTTTGGCCTTTATAATAACAAGAGGAGAAGGTTAAGTCTATTGGCAAGCTGTTACCTATTTTATATTTCTGATGTGCATACATTCACTGAACTTTCCATATCCAAATCACGTCAGATCTCAAAAAGAGACACCAGTCATAACTGTGGAAATAGACAGCAATCTTTTGAGAAAAGGAGCTATTTCCGTCTTCCTGCACTGGATTCAGGCTCTATCTCTGGGGATTACGCAATAAAAGTTGGAACTAACTAACATCAGGAGCAAAGTTGGAACTTCCCCTTGGGATTGGGGAAAAACAGTAGAAATATAATATCAGCGTGCAATTCTGTGGGCAAGACATGTTACCTCAGTAGTCTCTGTGAAGCTGCTGGTAAAGGTTCCTTACAGTTTCTAAAGTGTAAGAAAATTCCTCTCTTAGAATGGCAGCAGAGTTCTCAGAAATCGAGGTTATTGACCTTGCCCACCAAAAGCTGTCAAGACTTCCTGGTGGGTGGCTGCCAAAGTTTTTCACAGAAGCTCCAAATGATTAAATAACCAAATAACAATATGCTTCCCCCTACCCTACTCTCACTCTGCTGTCTCCCAATTATCATTTTGTGCCTGTTTGCTTCATGAGGTTTGTAGCTCAAGTGTTTGTTCTTCATCTTTATAACCAAATCAACAGACATTGCTGGATCTCCTGCTATGTTAGAGGCATTTTGCTAGAAGTTGGTAATCCAACTTGATATGACCTGACACCTACCTGCCCTCAAGGCATTAGAGCAGCAGTTGTCAGTGTCTCCCACCCCTCCTATCTGTCAGAGTTTTCCATTCTAGTTAGCTCCAGGGACTTCCAACAGCCAGCATCTGTGTCTTTGTGGCTTCAAAACTATGGAATTCTATTTAGCCTGCTCAAAGAACAGACTGCAAGTTGTAGGGAATTAACACCCCTCTAAGCCTGTATAAATCAGGTACCTTTGATTAGCTTCCTTTCCTTTCCTGTGTCACTTCTCCACTCCTCTTTGTTCCCTGAACTTCTAAAAAAACAGAACAAAAACAACACCCCCCCCCAAAACACACACACACACACACACACACACACACACACACACACAACAAAAACAAAACAACAACAACAAACAAAACCTGCACTAAGATTCAAGGTCTGCTTTTAGGGGAACCAAAATAAAATAGTCATTTTCAGCCCAATAATGGAGATGCAGAGAAAAATAAGAAGCTGCAATATATTTAGTAGTGTACTGATAGAGGTAAGCATAGGAGACTGGGAAAGCACAGAGAAAGGTCATGGCTGCTTCTTGATAAAGCTAACTGCTTTATCAGACAAGCATCACTGTAAATAATCTCACCCCTTGGGATTCTCCAGGTTCACTGGCATCTTCATTCTCATTCTCACGAGCTCTTTCTCTTTGCTCCTCATATTTGATGTGATAGCTGTCGGAAGTAGCCCTTTCAGCCTCCTGGAAGGCCTCGCTTGGGAGGAAGTAGTCGTCACTTGCACTGTGCCTGGGGCCATCATCACCACCAGCAGCAGGCTCTGCGAGTAAAGCCTCAGAAACAGTCTTTTTCTCCATCTCCTCAGGGTTGCTGATAACTTCAAGGCCAGCTTTTCCCTCTTGGCTCTGCCATTCAGTATCTTGATTGTGCTTCTTGATTTTTGATGCAGTTTCCTCTTCCATTTCTTCATTGGAGTTATCCTCTTCTTGTTCTTGGTGACCCTCCTCAAATTCATCTTTCTGCATCTTGCTTACTTGAGTTGGTTGACTGGACTCTTCCAAAATATCACCAGATCGGGTAGTGTCTTCTTCCTGCTTGCTGTTAGAATGCTCCTGGGGAAATTCTCCCTCCCTTTCTTGGTTATCATTGTGGGTACCAACTCCGCTCGGCTCTAGTCTCGTCCCTTCCTCTTCTCCATTTGGAATGTTTGGATCCTGCTCTTGGTTTTCTTCATCACCTAGGTCTTCACCATGTTTGCTGCTCCTGTTTAGATGATGATGTGAATCAGTTATAAGCTGCTCTTGGTTTTCCTCTGTGTTTGTGATGCTTTCTTGTTGGTTAGAATCTACAGTGGGACTAACATCAGGAGCAAGGAAATCAATATTCTCTGGGAGTTTTTCCTTTTGAGGCTCACTCGTATCTTCTTTTAGGTCCAATGTACCTCCAGCAAGTGCGTCCTCTAAATTCTCAGTTAAGTCACTTTCACTTTCCTCTTGATCCTGTAATCCCTGATCTGCTGACTGGTCATGATTTTTCTCCTTTAACTTTTGTACTGCAGATTTTTCAGCCTTAAAAGAAAAATGTTTATTTTGAAACAAATGATAATTTATTATATACCTCACATTTACAATTCATAAAGCCAACATTTAATATTTATTATTCTTTGTTAATATAATGACATGTAAACTTACATTTATAATGTTCTTCGTATTCTATAGCTACAAGTTTTACCTGAATTTGAGTTTTGTGAAATGAAACAATTATATAGCACCTCAGTTGAAGGAGTAAAACTCATTAATTCTCACAATTCTTCTAGTGATCGGCGACAATTGATATGATATAAAAAATTAAACTGAGATGAGAATGAAATAATCCCTTTGGCCATGCTTTGAAATGGAAACCTTTGGAGAATTTGGAAATTATCTTAGCATAACTATGTGACTTTTACCTTATTGTTGGGCTGCTCTTCTACAGATACCATAGTTTCCTTTTCATCTTCTGCATCTTCACCCCCTAAAATGGGCACCGTAGTGTCGCCAGGTGTTACTAACAGTTCAGCCTGTTGGATGGAACTCAAGGACTCAGCAGTTGGTTGGGAATGGTCAGATAGGAACCTTGCATTTGTCTGAAAATTAAAAAAATTGGTTTGTGTTATTCATGTATAGATGTTAATGTTTAAAACTTTTAGTTAGTCTGTTATTGTCATCACTAGAGGGACTGCGGGGATTGGCCTGCTGTGGGAGTGCCTCTCATCCTGGTCAGACTAGTGGCTGTGGACCCCCACTCTGAGCGGCTGCTCCACTGACCACTAGGGGGCAGCTCTTGCATTGAGCGTCTGCCCTCTGGTGGTCAGTGCGCATCATAGCGACTGGTTGACTGGTCATTCTGGTTGTTCTGCCATTCAGTCTCTGGGCTTTTATTATATAGGATTATTAGTAGCAATACACTTCATTTCAAAAATAAAAGATATTCTCTAGAATTTATAAGGATACAAGCAAATGTCCAGAATATAATCTTAAGTGAAAACAGAATCCCAATCAAGTTTAAGAAAAAGTTATACATGCAGAGACTGGGTGAAAATAAAGTTTCAATAATAATAAGTTTTGGGTTTTGGAATTAATTTCTGTGTTTTTCAAACTTTTACAAAACAATTGTACTTTATAATTTTGAAAAATATTGTTTGTATAGCAGAAAGTTGAGGTTAAATTAAGTTAACCATAGGGTATAGCATTGTACATTTGCTTAAGTTAATTACTCACTGATAATTAGCAGAAAGGCTGTAAACCTTTTATTCAATATTTGTTTACTTCCTTAACATTATCAGCCTAAATCCATCAAGAAATCCTTTAATAAAAATAATTTAATGTCAACTAATTAAAAACTGTGGAACAGAACACCAAGTCTAGTAGGGAAGAGTAGCTAAAGCATATTATTTCCACTAGATGGATGGCTCTGTCTATTTCTAGCAAGATCAGAGGCATGCTCTGGCCAGTGTGCACAGTGGTTAGAGCACTGGCACATGCACTGAAGGATTTAGGTTCAATTCCTGGTCAAGGCCATGTACCTGGGTTGCAAGTTTTATCCCTGGCCCCAGTAGAAGTGCATGCAGGAGGCAGCCAATGGATGTGTCTCTTTCACATCAGTGTTTCTCTCTCTCTCTCTCTCTCTCTCTCTCTCTCTCTCTCTCTCTCCCTCTCTCCCTCCCTCTTTACCTTCCACTAAAAATCAATGGAAAAAATATCACTGGGTGAGAATCAACAACAATAACAAAAACAGATCAGAGATCAGAAGCCTGGTTGGAGAAGTTGAGATAAGACACCTCCTTTCAAGTCTTGACTCACCTATTTACTAACTATCTGTAGTTTTGTTCCTCTTTAACCTGTCATCTCTCAAGGTGAAGTAAGCAGAAATATCAGGATAAGGTCAAGTGCCCATCAGTAGATGAATGGATAAAAAAAGCGGTGGGACATTTATTCTATGGAATACCATGCAACTGTAAAAAAGAGGGATCTCTTACCCTTTGGGACAGCATGAATGGACCTAGAAAATATTACACTAGGTGAAATAAGCCAAACTGAGAAAGAAAAATATCACATGATCTCACTTATGTGTGGAATCTAATGAACAAAATGAATTGACCAACAAAATAAGACCCGAAGCAGGGAGGCATGGAACAGACTGACATACCTCGATGTGGGGTTGAGAGGATGAGAAGAGATAAACCAAAGAACTTACATACTTACTAGAGGCCCGGTGCACAAAATTCGTGCACAGGATGTGGGGGTCAAGTCCTCCAAGCTGCCAGCTCTCCCTCTCTGCTCTCCATCTGACAGCTTGGGGAGCCAAGTTCCCCAAGCCGCTCCACTCTGCCGGCTCTCCTGCTCTGCTCTCTGCCTGGCGGCTTGCGGGGAACAACCAAGGGAGCCACGTCTCCCCAAGCTGCTGGCTCTCCCACTCTGCTCTCCACCCAGTGCCTGTGTATGCAAATTAACCCACCATCTTTGTCAGGATAATTTGCATACTCACTCCTGATTGGCTGGTGAGCATAGTGGAAGGACAGTCAATTTACATGTTTCTCTTTTATTATATTAGATATGCATAGCCCATAGACATGGGCAATAGGGTAGTGAAGACCTGAGGGAGGGATAGGGGCTGGGAAGAGGGGGGCAAGAAGGGGAAAATGGGAGATATATGTAATACTACCAACAATAAAAAATACATTAAAAAGATAAGGTCATGTATATTAAAATATGTTACAAATTTTAAGGAGTTACCTAAGTGAAAAATTACTATGGCTAGTAGCAATAGCATGCAGTGGTAATAATATGAAGTGTCTGGTATCTTAGGCAGGTAGTCTCCATGAGTCTTTATTAAAGAGATGCTGTGGACACGCAGATGTCCGGTCATGTGTAAGTACTAGTATAAGACTCAGATTCTATTTGGATGGACTAATCTTTATTCCATTAGCATGTCCTGCAGTGCTGATTGTACAATATAAAGAAAGGCTGGGAGTACAGGATTTATTTTAGATATGGTTTGCTCTCCTGCTTCTTATTACCAACTGAGAAGAAGGATAATATGTTTTAAAATTTCCAAAGAAGCTATTTGTAAGAGGGAAAAGGAGAAAGAATGGCAGCCAGGTTGGTAAGTTGCTGGCAGGGGCATCACGTAAGCCAAGGCTGGAGGAGATTTTAGGCTTATTAGTGGAGGACTGCTCCTCCTCTCTGCTCCCTTCCTCTCCAATTTCCCCTCCTCAAAATGGAAGAGATGCACAAGAACACGGCAGCTTCTTTTCTTTCAGAAGTTTCTTGAAAATGAAGTTGTTTTATCCTTAGGCTCACATCTATATTTTAAACAACGTACCCTCTGGATATCTGCATGGAATTTGTAACCACACAGAATCAACCCCCTGACTTCTGGAGAACTCAGCAGTAGGGGGAAATGATACAAGATTTCTAATAGATAGAGCTAGGAGAAGGTATTTTGAGCATTTTCTAGGTCTGTGTGATAAACAAATTGTCCTAGAAAAGAAACATCTGGAATGTGTCTCTATGCAGGCAGGTCATTCAAACACTTCTTTCAAAGCCTACTTTTGATGCCCATTTGCATAGCAGCAACAGCTTCGAAGGCAAAACACATTTTCAGGGGAAAACAATGGTTCTGTGGGAGCCCCTTTCTTTGCTGAACATAATTTATCCCTTGTTTGTAATTTCCAAGGACAATGTATAATTTCAGCTGGAGTAGCTCCACACTATTTACACATGACTCTTGGCAGTGGTCATAAATTCTGTTTCCTCAGAACTGCCTGGTCTGGTGGCATGGCGTTTGTCTTTGCTGACACATCTGTCAGCCAGAAGCTATTCACTAGCTGGGATCGCGTCTGAGAGGGAGGGACAGCAGGGACAACAGATAAACTTCTTTGTCTATTTAAAGGAGCCCTATTCCTCCATTTGGTGAAAAAGAAAAAAAAATACACAAATCCTTTCGTTTGGTTAAGGATGGATGATATGGCTCTTTGGGGGGACATTCAAATGGTCACCAGCCATGGAGAATATATACATATATATCTTTTATTTTCCACATTATTTTGAGGCTGCTGATATGTCTCAAAGGATTTGATTTGTACAGCTGATTTATTGCTGTGTGAATGGTGGGGCCAGTATATGTGACTGAAAAAAAAAAGATGTTTTAGTCCTGTCTATTTTCAGTGTGTTTATTTGAACAACTCCCTAAGGACGAGTTAAGAACTGATTTGTGGTTACCGTACCATTTCCTGTCCCTAACCCCTTGGTTCCTGTTTTTATTACAGACTCAGCATTTCTCATCCAGGTTGTATTTGACCTTGAAGAAAATGCTGCTGGAGAGCGTGGCTGTGCCCTCCACAATTTCTCATACGAATTTCTTAAATTTCTCATGCTAATGTGATGAGCTTCCTGAGGAGAATTTATTTCTCCCTGTGCTCTTTCGTATTTGGGCATATTTCCTGACTAATAAACTGATAATCAGCACTTTCAGCTACATATATAAAGCATCTTACAGAATCTGTTAGTTCTGAAAGAAATATATATATTTAAAGTACCATATCTCAATTTTCCTAAGCATCCATTCCTCACTTGGGCAAAAAATATGTAATGTGACTAAAACAAACAAAAAAGTTGTAAGCCACTATATAAGAACATTTTCTTTTTTAAAAATTGCCTTTATTTATTTGAGAGAGAGAGAGAGAGAGAAAAATTGATGTGAAAAAGAAACATCAATCAGCTGCCTCCTGCCCCTTGCCAGGGATTGAGCCCAAAACCTGGGCATATGCCCTGACCAGGAATTGAACTGGTGACCTCTCAGTGCGTGGGATGACCCTCAACCAACTGAGCCACATCGGCCAGGGAAAGAACATTTTCTTTTCAATGGAGGATTTCTAAACTAATATCAGGAGGGAGAGATGTAATAACAGAAAAAAAAATTTACCGGGATTGCTGCTGCAGTTCCCAAAATGTACAGGAAAAAAAGCACAGTCTTCATGCTTCCAAGACCTGTGAACCAAGAAGATAATTAGTAGTGGTGGGTAAAGTTTCCTTACGTATGAAAGGCTAAAAGATAATCTTAGCAAATATTGAGTGTGATACTGTCCTTTGTATTTACAGGTGATTGCTGTCTTTGTGGACTAACATGTCTGCAAAGACAGATTAATGACAGTTTTGACCCAACGGTGTCCAGGTGAGGACTCCTTGATTTTTTGGCCCAGCTGTATTGGTGGAAACTGTCTGTGCTTATGACTGCGTGTCCTTGAATGAAAGTTCTATGCAAATCTTGGGTCTTAAGACTTGTGAGTATTCAAAGTGCAGTTAGCAGTCACAAAGTGAAGAAATAGGGTGTGATAAAAAGTCTCTTTGGTGGTGAAGAAACCCACACATTCAGGGAAGAGTTTTAGGCATGAGACATCGTACTGCACTAAGGGGCCACCAACGTTCACCTAATTTAGAGCTTTCACATTGGCAATCTGTGAGTTGGTGGTGGCCTGCAAATGGGTTTGGTTTGGTAGGCACTGTGCATTTCAAATTAGTATTGAAAACTCTGGAGGTTTCATGTAAAAGATCCACATATGCAGTTTCTCTTGAACTATTGGCCCTCTCGGCAACAGCAGGCTCTCATGGCGACAGCTGGCTAGGTCTGAGTAGAGACTGTCCTGTGTAAGGGACGCTGGCATTTGTATCTGGTTTGTTTCACTTTTGTTATTTGCTTGCATTTTTGAGTTCGGTTAGTTCCAAACTAACTTTTTCAGTTTAGAGATGAGACAAGTGAAACAAACAGGCTACGTAAATTGGCCTCTAGGTGAACTCTCTTAAAAGGAGTGGGCAGTCTACAATTTCTTACACAGTATCCTTAAGCCTGGTAATCTGAACTCTGACTGAGATTCACGATACAGTTTTTAATCGCTAATAGAGATTTTCTATCTCTGAAACTCCCAGAAATAGTAGATAACTCTTTTAAATTACTTCTTGCAATCATAGTTTTATACATACATGTATTACAGAGCTTTAAATGACATTAAATAAACCTTTAATGAGGTTTAAAAAGAAAGTGAGTAGTTTGATAGTTACCTCAATATTTTAAGCTAACATGCTTAAATGGATATTTAAAAGAAGGTCTGGGGGATGGGAGTGGGGTGGAGGGGATCGATGGGGGAAAAAGAGGGACATCTGTAATACTTTCAACAATAAAGATAAATTAAAAAATATATATGTGTATGTTTTGTCTATCCCATTTAATCAACAGAGATTTTTGTTTCTTCATCTGATTTATATTTTTCTTACTTATTATTCTTATTTATTTATTTATTTTTAGGAAGCATAGGAATTACTACAGGTATTTGGTTCTAACTTCATTAGCAAATAATGTTTAAAAAAATGTATTTTTATTGCCCTACCTGGTTGGCTCAGTGGATAGAGTGTCAACCCACCGACTGAAGGGTCCTGGGTTTGATTCCGGTCAAGGGCACATATCTCAGTTACAGGCTTGATCCCTGGCCCTGGTCAGGGCATGTGCAGGAGGCAACCAATTGATGTGTCTTTCCCACATCGATGTTTCTCTCTCTCTGTTTCCCTTCCTCCCTTCCACTCTCTCTCTGAAAAATCAATGGAAAAATATCCTCGGATGCGGATTAACAACAACAACAAAAATATGTATTTTTTTTATTGATTTCAGAGAGGAAGGGAGAGGAAGAAAGAGATAGAAACATCAGTGATGAGAGAGAATCATTGATCGACTACCTCTTGCATGCCCCCGACTGGGGACTGAGCCTGCAACCCAGGCATGTGCCCTGACCAGGAATTGAACCGTGACCCTCTGGCTCATAAATTGACGCTCAACCATTGAGCCACACAAGCCGGGCAGCAAATAAAGTTCTTATTGAAGAAAAGGAGGTTATAGGTGTGAGCACAAAAACATGCCAGAAACAAATTAGAACTCATTCTCATCTATCCCACTATTTGAACATCGCAAGGTAGACCTGGATTAGGGAACAGTGCTTTGGAAGGATGGAGAGGAAAGCTGCACATAGAAGGTAATTTGGGATGGAGTATGGTGGAAAAACTCAAATCGTGTATAACCTTAAATAATAATCCATTCTAGTTTTAATAAAAATAACATGTACTCTGCTTGGAGAGTTTAATTCCCCTAAAGGCCGCCTCTGAAAATGACTATTCATTACTTAAGTAGAAATTCAGAGTATTAACAGTGAAATGTGTGTTACATCATTTATACCTTTAAATAAACATTATGTAGAACTAGTAATGGTGTATAACAGATACCAGATTATATTATCAAAGTGCGTTGGGTTTATCAGATTTATAACTGGAATATTATCTTATTTGATCATTTTAACAACTTCATTGATATGGTAGATGAACAGGCCTAGAAAGGTTATGATAGGTCACACTCAGGGTCAAAGAGCTGTTAAGAAGAGGAATTGGATTGGAACCTAGCTTTCCTGGCTCCTGTTCTGGTACTCTCCCAGCTCACTTGTAAATAAAGATCTCCATTTACCTCTTACAGAAAGATGTTGGGAAGGAGAAAAACAACAAACAAATAACCCCAAACCAGTATTGGAAGAAATTCAGAGTTCACTTTGAATTAAGGGGTTCCAAGCATTTTAATGTTTAAGGTTTTTGCCTATGTGGCAACTAAATATTTTTCAGCGTTGGCGGGGGGAGGGGGGGGGCGCGAATGGCTGATCATAGAAGATTGGCTGGTTTATTTGATAGCAAAAGTCCCTTTCAATAATGCTTTTTAGTCCAAACAAGGCCTTTGCATAGAAATTAAAGTTCCCTTGAATGAAAAACATGTCTAAATAAAAGCTTGTAGCATGTTAGAAATGGTCTTTGGGAAAGTTATGTATGAGGATAGACCAGTGAAAGACTTAATAGGAGGAAATAGCAATATTAAGGTGAGAGGTGGTCAGAGCATTGAATTTTGGCTGTGGCCTTGGAAATGGAGAAGAGAAAAATAGATTCAGTTTGTACTGGCCCCTGAGAGTCAATTGTTAAATTTTCAGAAATTTAGTTGACTATTAAATAAAGCCATTATTAAAAGTTAAATTATACACACATATACTTAAATTAATAATATCAAACAAAGGAAATAAATACTCAAAACTCATCACTTCACACGTATTATGCTACATTTTACTGTTACTTACTCTCTTATGGTTATTTATGCCTGTTGTGTCTGTAGGTGGAAATACTATATAATGTGCTACTGTGCATCTGTTACCAATTTTGTTCAGTGATGTCATGCTAGTAGTATGAAATTAGCCATAGTGGGAGGATTATACCATGGAAATCATCAAATGCTGCTCATTTTCTCTCCATCCTTCCCCAAAGCTGATTGCTAAACATTCATCAGCATATTGAGTTGTACACTTGAAACCTGTATGGTTTTGTTAACTAAGGTCACCCAAATAATCTCAATTAAAAATATTTACCAGCATATCAATGGAAAATATTTAAAAGCAGAAGAGATAAGTTTTAATAACCACTTGGATATTGTTGGAAGAAGAGAAGGAAGAGTCTTAGGCTATCACATTTCTAATTTGGGCAAATGGGTAAATGGTAGTATTAATCACTAAGGTAAGGAATTAATAAGAGGAAGATGGGGTTTTAGAAGAAAGGTGATGCATTCGTTTTGGACTTGTTGAATTTGAGTAGAGCTATACTTGAATAAGTGCATCTGCAGGTAAGCATTGATGGGGGGGGGGGGCGTTAAAGATAAACCTTGGATGCTGTGGGCATGAGAAGCTATATAATGAGTAGAGCAAAGGGCTGAGGCCAGAAGCCTGGTGAGTGAAGACCATTAGGTCCATTAGAGGATGGGAAGAGCTAACAATACAAAGGATGAGAGACAGGAGTTTCACATAAGAAAAAGAGTGTTAAATGTCCCAGAGAGGCCAAAGTAAACAAGACCAGGAAATTACCCCCTGCCTTGGGAATTACAGAGGTTACTGGAGAGTTGTGGGAGAGGAGTTGTGGGGCAGTAGTGTTGGTAGAGCCAATCTGTAGTGACTGAGGAGTAGGTAGACAGTGATGAAGTAAAGACAGCGGGTGTGAAGATGGTTGTCTATGAAAGAAAGGAGAGTAAGGGGAACGTGTGATCACAGGCAAATTTTATTTGTATTAAAATGTAGTCATCCAAGTGCTTTTTATGCTTACAGGAAAGCAAAAGAAACCCAAATGAGCCCGGCTGGCATGGCTCAGTGGTTAAACATTGACCTATGAACCAGGAGGTCAGGGTTCGATACCCGTCAGGGCACATGCCCGGGTTGTGGGCTCCATCCCCAGTGTGGGGTGTGGAGGAGACAACTGTTCAGTAATTCTCTCTCATCATTGATGTTTCTATCTCTCTCTCCCTCTCCCTTCCTCCCTGAAATCAATAAAAATATATTAAAAACAAGAAAAAAAGAAGCCTACATGAAAAGATAGAGGAGAAGAGAGGAAATGTGGTAAGCAATGATTGCCCCAGTGACCCACAACTCCTGGGCTGTATGCCATGGACTTTGGCCTTGGCCTTGTGACTTGCCTTGGCCAATGGGACATTAGCAAGCACGTTGCCAGCAGAGGCTTGGCAAGCACTTGCACACTAGAATTTGTCCTCCTGTGAAAGCCATCCACCATGCTATGAAAAAGTTTGGACTGCTGACTAGCTCAATCGTTTAATGATAAGCAACCATGCAGAGAGAACCTTGGAGGATGAGAGACCATTTGGGATGGCTCAGCCTCAGCTGAGCTCCCAGCTTGCTGGAGCCACATGAGTAATTCCAGACAAAATCAACAGAAAAACCACCCAGTTGAGTCCAGTTCAGACTACAGAATCATGTGCCAATAAGGGAGTTGGTTTTAAGCCATTTAGCTTGGGAGTAGATGGTTATGCAGGAATAGATACCTGAAATAGGGGAAAACAGCAAAGTTGCCTGAATCATTGTGTAGCTAATATTGCACAACAATTCATGACATAAACTCTGAAACAGGACTTCCTAGAC